GTGCTCTTCCTTTGCTAACATTGTTCTTCCCTGCTTCTCGTCCTCTCTTGGTACTGTGTATGCACATCCTGTGTATATTCCCAGGAAACCTCCAATATAATCTCCTCTAAGATCCTTGCCTGATGTCCTCAGCCAGGTGTAACCAACTTCTCCTTCCTTTTCATTCCCTCAGAAAAGTAGGAAGTTTTTATTAACCAATGTCACCCCACTAATTCAACAAAAAATGTAGGCAGTTCTCCTTTTAGGCCATTTGCGACATTCCACCTAGCACTATATTTGTACATGTGCAAGTTTGATCCCTCTGCCAGATTGTAAAGCTCATTTAGTTATGTGTTCATTCAGCAAATATTTTTTGAATGCCTATTAAGTACAACCACTATGCTAGATAGAAGTGAAAAAAACAAAACAAATATGCCTCCTCCCCTCAAGGGACTTACAGTGTAATTAAGGAGACAGTAAAGAAATGGTTAATATTTATTTTACAAATAGTGTGTGAGAGGTGGATACAGAATACAGAGAGGCACACCAACTCAGTCTTACAGAAGAAGAAAAAGAGCAGAAAACTTACATGAGCAGCTGATATTTGAACCCAGTCTTAATACTGAGCCAGTTGTGAATGGGGTGGTGGGTTTGGAGGGGGAAGGATGCATTCTGGGTACAGCATAGTTAAAGACTACCAGTTATAGGCCATGGCCAAGTCATGTGGCCATTTATATTTATTTCCCATACTGTAATGTTCCAACATCTGTGTTAGACAAGGAGTGTTCCATTATAAACTGTTCACCATTCTGATTTGTAATGAGAAAAACAAAGGTAATGCAGTGAGTTGTCAAAAAAATCACATTGTATCCAATTTTAAAATTACGACCTTACTTAATTTTTGTTAAATGTTCTTTCTTTAATGAAACAGTAGTGATAATATACAGTTGTGTTTTAATTTAATATTTTATTTGGAAAACTTAATTTAAAATTAGCAACACCAATGAAGGCTTTCTTTCTTTTTTTTTTTAATTGGCTCATGATATTCAAGAATTGAACTCTAAAAAGTATTAGTGGATAAGAATTCTCTGGAGAACTTAAAAAAAAAACCCGGTTTCTTTTTATCACCTTGGCCTTAGTGTTTTAGAATTTCTGAGGTGGGGGCTTAGAAATTTGCCTTCCTAAAAATTTCTCAGTTAATTTGGAAAAGCATTCTGATTTGAGAGCAACAACCCTAGCCCAGTTTACCTCGCCCAGATAGGTGCTGGATAACCAAGTGTCAAAGGAATGAGTGAGTGCTGCTCATATAAGTACACATTTAGAGACATAAACTTTCCTTTTTTTCCCAACAATGAAATACAAACATCTTAAGTGTACATGGAAGAGAACTCTTAAGAGAAAGTCTGATTCCTAAGAAGACAGAAAAAAACCAGGAGGTTATTTTAGGACTTTTTTTACTTTTATGCACAAAGGGTGATAAAATGAAAACGCAGTACTCTTCAAATGACTTGGTAACTGACATGAGCATATTTAGCATGAAAAATTGTTTGAGACTTGCAAGAAGTAAGGGCCTTGGTATGGGCCTCTCAGTGTCATTTAATAAAAAGAGGGTAACATTTTAAAATCAAGTACATTGATAGATGAGGTAATATACTCCTATTAATGATCTTTCAGTGACCTGAAAATGCAAAAAACTTCTTTTAGGACCTAACTAATTTTAGATTGGAAACTCCTTACATCATTTTCTCTATTTCCTTGTGTAATCCCATGATATTAGAGCTTAGTTGTGAATAGAGCTTAGTCATGAAAAGCATGAGTATTAGGACTACTGTTTGGAACTCAGATAATATCACCTTCTGTGTTTCTCTCAGCATTTAGATTCATAGGAATTCACAGATCCCTGAGTTCAAGTCCCTGATTTTGTGGACAGGGACGCAGGACTTGCAGGAACTGCAAGAATCCCCCAAAAGGCTCCACAACAGAACAGTGTCTGGAGCAGTCACTTGATGCTGTTTCCACACATACTTTCTTTTCTTTTCTTTTCTTTCCTTTTTATTTTTATTTTTTTGAAGATTTTATTTATTTATTCTTAGAGAGAAGGGAAACAGGGAGGAGAGAGAGGGAAACAGCAATCAGACCAGCCTGCAACCCAGGCATGCTCCCCAGCTGGGAATTGAACCAGTGACCTTTCACTTTGCTGGACAATGTCTAACTGAGTCACACTGGTCAGGGCTCCACACACACTTTCATAGGAACACTTGTACTTGGCATCATAGGAACTTGTACTTGGTAACACATGTTGCTTCACCCTCCTTTCACCCCTTAGTTTCTTCATGATTTCCACTGTTGTGCATTCATTTTTCATGGAATTACACAAATGGGTGAAGTGAGACAGGTTTTTAATATTCACATTTGACAGAGAAGGAAAGTCCAAATGATGAAGGGCTTGGCTTGCCCATAGTTACACAGCTGTACCAGTTAGCTGCGGTTGCCACAATAAATTCCTACAGACTGGTGGCTTAAGCCACAGGAATTTATTTCCCACAGTTCTGCAGGGTGGGAAGTCCAAGATCATGGTTCATGGATGTAAGTTCTTTGCCTGATCTCCTTCTCACTATGCCCTCAAGTGGAAAATGGTATGGGGAGGAGTGAGAGAAAGAAGTAAGCTCTTTGGTCTTTTCTTATACTAATGCCATCATGAGGGCACCACCCTCAGGACCTAGTCTAATTTAAATGATCTCCCAAGGACCCTATCTCCAAACACCAGCACAGTGGGGGTTAGGGCTCAATGTGCATGAACTTTGGGAAGGACACACTCAAGTTCATAGCAACAATGCTAGGACCAGAACATAGCCAGCATAATTGGTGTCAGTGTGTGCATCCCGAGAAATAAGACACCTACTAAGAAGGGTTCCTGGTGGTTAGCTGGGATCAAATTTGAAAAAACAAAAACAAACCAGAGCCTAACAGCTATTTCTATACAGGGGCATCTCACACAAACCACACTTCAGGGAGAAGCCCGCACAGAACTACCTTCCCCCGGGCTGAACTGCCGGCCTGCACTGTGTTTCTGCCCGCTGACCCCAGCCCTTATAAAGGAGGTCCTGGAATCCTATTTTAACCAATAGTTCTCAGGCTTTCCTCCAACCACTCAGAGCTGTGCAGCTTCGGCCAATCAAAGTGTCTCTATTCTGACCAATCAGGACAGTGCCTTTGGACCAGTCAACCTGCGAGGACTTGGGGTCCTCCTTTGCATGAGGATGGGCCAATCAGGGACCAGGGATAAAGACTTCAGTCTATATAAACAAGGTTCCCCGGCCAACACCCCGCCCCCTCCCACTTAGGACCACGCTTACTGTTTCGTGGAATAGTATGTTACGGTAGCTAGAGCAGGCTGGAGTGCGGGAGCAGTGAACCGGGGGGGTGCTGCCTAGCTCCAGCGGGGCCTGGGCTCAGAGCTGCCTCCCAGTTGTGCTGTGTTCACAGCCGTGCTTTATCACCCTTGAACTGTTTGGCACTGAATTAACGTTTCTTTCCTCACTGCACCCCAAATGGCGGGTTCCTGTTGGTGTTCAATTGGTTCTAATGACCGTAAAACATGTTGCGGCCTCCACTGTGAGGGGATCCTGTGGTAACTTACGAAATCTCATCAGTGGTATAAGAGAAGTAATGGCAATATCCAAGGGAACAAGAAAGAGCTATAATGGGGAACGGCACCCTGGGGATTCAAAAGGTTATGATGACATAGCCAAATGAGCAGAGGAAGAATACAAATGCTTTCAACAGGGAAAGATTTGAGACTGGATATTGTAGGCCTAAGAAGGACTATAATGGAAAGGTATGGGTTGTCTTTGGGGAATGGGGCAGAGCCTGTTTAACCACCAGAAACTGGACGGCACGGAGTAAGCCTGGAAAACGCAGTGTTCTCCTTGCTGCACTCTGTTTTATCTACAGATACAGTCTCTTCCTTTTTACTGTTTTCTGGGATAGAGACCCTACTCTTTATTTATTTGGTTGAACCTAAAGGGACTGGCAAGGACTCTACAGAGGGTGCGTTATAAACTACATGGCTATTGATAGAAAACAAAGCCGTGGGGAGGGCGTGCCAGTTGTGAAAAGGGGTAGCAGAACGTATTCCCGTTTGACGTGGTAATGCAGTGGAGCAAGAAGGCACAGAGAAGCAGTTTTCTTGCTAGTGATCTTAATCCCCCAAAAGAAACATGATCTTTTCCTAAAACACAGGAAAGAGAACCTGGGTTTAAGGTCAGACGTGGTCCTTGCACCACCGTTTTCCAGTGGGAGCCAGCTAAATCTGGCCAGACAATCCTAGGAAAGAATGGTAAAAATTAGGCCTAAGGAACAGAGGTCAAAAGCGTGGAAAACACCTCCGAGGACCTCGGCGAGGCCAGGGCGAAGCCGGCTCCGGGTGAGCCGCGCTTTGGAAAAGGGGCGCGCCCTTAGCAGGGATCGGGAGAGAAGGAAACTGCCTCGTTTACCCTTCCCCTGTTTCAGGGGAGGGCCTTTGGTTAACCCTGCCAGGACTGGGAAAACTTTATCCTGTTTTTTTAATCTTGTAAAACCATTTTACAGAACCAAAAAGAGGGCGGTACCCAATGGAATCTGAAAAATACCCAACAGGGGCGGGGGAGCGGGGCGTGCCCAGATCAGGAGGCTGCAGCGGACTGAGCAGCGCAGCGCGGACCGATAACCGCGTCTCGTGTAAGAGGTCGTTGCATGCTGCCACACGGGCCGAGGTGGGCCCAGAGTCCATCGGACGCACACCCCCGCGCACAGCCCCGCTCCTCGCGGACTAAGGGGCGGGGAGGGGCTGTCAGCGGCCGGGGGCGGGGCCCGGTTCGCGGCTGGAGAGGGCGGGAGGGGCAGGCTCTTTCGTTCCCTGATTGGGCCTGAGCTGACCAAAAGGCGGTGTCTTGAGGCAGTTCTATAGGCCGGCATTGGGCAGTAGAGTCAGGGGGAGTGGCTTTGTGAAGTCAGTTCCGGTTGGTGTAAAACCCCCTGGGCGGTGGCGAACGGGCTTCAGATGCTTCTGGGTCGCGGTGGGAAAGGTGTTCGTTCCTTGTGTGTGAGCTTGAGGCCGAGCGCTAGAGCGACCCGGCGAAGGATGGCGGCCACCGGGACCGCGGCCGCCACGGCCACGGGCAGGTTCCTGGTCCTGCTGCTGCTCGGGCTCACGGCACCCGCCGCGGCGCTGGCCGGCTACATCGAGGTGGGAAGCGGACGAACACCCAAGCGCAGTCTTTTTTCACCCGCCGTGGGAGCGCGGCCTGTGGGCGGGTGGGCTGGGGGCGGGCGCGCGGGGGGAGGTGGTGGTCCGGCGCTGCGGCGGGTCTGGCGCTCCCTCCCCCACATCCCTGCTTGGTGCAGTGCTTAGCGCTGGAGGTCGGGCTGCCTCGGCCGCCGCAGAGGCCAAATGAAAGGCATCAGGGCTGCGGGGGGCGGTGGACCGCCTCGGCCCAGCCCCCATCCCGCCCGCGACCCTGCCGCCTCCTCCGGGGTCCCTACACGGTCCAGACGCCCACCGTGCTCTCCCCGCGGACGGTGCGAGCCTCAGTCCGCAGCCCTGGACCTCGAGACGGCGCCGGCTGTAGGGGCAGCGCGCTCCCCGCGGACGGTGGTGGGCTTTTCCTTCGGGAAGCGGCTTATGTATCTTTTGTTGGCGAGGTGGCCTCGGTTGTGGGATGCAGCTTCCCGGGTTGGCCCGGTGGAAGCGCTGGGGTGCCGGGCGAGCGCGCCTAGGCTGCGCGGTGAGAGCGCTCCAGCACCGGCCGCGGGTGTCCCTCTGCTTCCTGCCTCCCTCTCCAGGAGGTCCACCGCGCTGGCATCAGGCCTTGGAGAGGAATTGTTAAATAGAGCTATTTGCCTGAGTCTAGTTAAAAAAGGAAACTCCTTTCTGGTGGCCGTGTTGCTCCCTTTTAAGAGCGGGTTTCCGCGAGTGGGGAAGGTAAAAACTCTTTTTCTGCGACCCTACTTTTTTTCGGTGTCGGAATTTAAGTAGTACTGATAACCCTGTAAACATCTGAGCGCTGGGAGGTGGTTATGTGGCCTGGATTCAGGGGCGATTCGCTTGAGTTGAGGCCGCGGGAACAGGCGAGTCGCTGGGGTCCGTGAGGTTCTGCAGCGTGCCTGGACACCAGCCGCTGCTCAGATGCCTTTCTGTTCGCGGGGGACGTGGGACTTTACTTTTACCTGCCTTGGAATGGTCCTTGAACTGTTGGACTGGACTGGATGTTTCTGGTAGTGTCATTTACGTTTCTTTTCCCTTTTCAGTGTTTTAAAGATTACAGTTGATTTCTGCGTATTTAGCTAATTTCAGAGAGAAGTGAGACTGGATTTGATTACATAGGCATTGACAGATTTCCTAATAAAAACCCCAAGTTGGAATGTGTTCTACAGAATGTTTAAGTATTTCCACGGGTAAAATAAATCTAATCAAGACAAACTTTCACATGGAACAGCTTAAAACGTTTGTATTTACTTTGCTTAAAGCTTTAGGGAAAGCTGAGGGGGGAAAAATGATTCTTTTGGGAGAAAAATAAAAATGTGTTAGATTACAATTATTTTAGCTTACACACAATGGTTAGATTTATATCTTTGATCCCCGGCATGATGTCGCATGAAAGCGAGCTAGGTCAGTGGGTTGGGAGGGGAAGGAAAAAAAGGATTTTGTATAGAATATAGAATTTAAAGCTTACAAAAACCATTGTTCACACTGTTTTACCTCACTTCCCAGGGGTATGTGTAACTTCAGGCACTAGTGAATTCACTATAAAGGATTCATCAATTTTAAAGAGTTTCTTCCTTTCAAGTTTAAGCAGAATATTAACACTGGTATGCCTGCTTCAAGAAAGAACTAACAATATCATAATTCGTTTATTAAATTTAGATTGTTACCCACCATATTGTTTTGTTTCCTGAAATGGTTTTTGAGTGCTCTTTTAAAATTTTTGTTCTTCAGAACCGTATTTTTGCCCATACTAAATTATTTTTCAAATGGTTTTGTCTTTTGTCAAGCAGGTTCATGTGTATATATTTTGATTTTATTTATTTGTTGCCAGGCAAAAGATTGCCTAAGCCTTAATTTAGATGAGAAAGGCCTAAATCTGGATGTCTTTGGGAAGGTCTTTATTGAGATTAGCCAAAGGGATTGTAGCCAAATCCCTGATCAAGTTGCTTGGCACAGAATTATTAATTGGAGAATCTTTTAATGTTGCCTGGTGTAGACTGAATTAATCTCTTACACCTGTTTAAAAAGGAAAAAAACACCTCTGTACTCAGGGTCACTTCCTTTTTTAAATCCAGGACAAATCCTGTTGTGTGCTTGCTCCCATTTGGGATTCTCAAACGGTGTTTGTGCTGAAACTCTGCACTGTATAAAGTGGACATTGAGGCTTCTGAGAGCCAGGACTTGAGTTCCTTCTGCCACCTTTGAAAGAAAGTAGGCCATTTGATAGCCAGTTTTCAGGGAAGTCAAAGTATGGCAACTGCAACAGAAGGGAAAGACGGCTTTGCGTTGATGCCTTTGGAGGGGTGGTAGAGGGAATGTCCGATTATGACTTGGAGAGATACCAGTGCTTCTGATAGGAATATCAGTCCTTATTTTATCATAACTAGGTTTGAAATCTTTTGATAAATATGATAAGTTTTAACAATCAGGTCCTCCTTCCATAGAAGGGAATTGTTTCATCATCTAAACCTGCCTGCCTCATAGCATAGCCACATTTGGCTCCTGACCTTGCAGTTGTGGGTAGTGTGATTGAGGGATGAATTTTCCAGTGTATTTAATTTTCACTTTACTTTTTGAAATACTATTCTGTGGACCTGAGAATGAATGTTTTTAGACTTTTTTTTTTAAGACATTTCTTTTCAGAGAGGGAGAGAGGAGGACAGAGAAAGGGAGAGAAACACCCATGTGACAGGGAAACATTGATCAGTTAGTTGCCTCTCATACATGCCCCGATTGCGGACCACACCTGCAATCCAGGACATATGCCCTACCTGGAATAGAACTGGCCTTTTGCTTTGCTGGATGATGCCCAACAAACTGAACCACACTGGTCAGGGCTGCTTGCTTCTAAAGACTGATACTCAAATCAGTCATTGGAAAACTTCTAACTATATTTGAAACAACTTGGTTATATGAACCTACTTTTTTAACTGTACATTTTATGAAATATAAATGCAAATCAAATATTTCATTTGCAAATTTAGCACCTGCGTGAGGATGTACTATAATTGTAAAATGTACAGCAGATTTTGAAGACTTAGTATGAAAAAAGATAAAATATCTCAATAATTTTTACATTGATTGTATTGAAATGATAATATTTTAGACACTGGCAAAGTAAAACATTAAAATTAGTTTCACTTGTTTCTTTTAATTTTTATTGCGGCCACTAGAAAATACTACATCTAGGGCTCACATATTTCTACTGGATTACTTCATTTAATGTCTTACTTGAAGTTAGTTCTGCATGTGTTTTTATTAGCACAATTTAAAATATATTGCTCCTTTTTCGCCCAATAAACTCTTGCCTGAAAATTGGTCCAGCATGTTCTTAAGTGTTTTCTTAGGACAATTTTGAATGTTATTTTTTCCTCTATTGATTTTTGAAATTAAATTTTATTTTGAAGTAGCAAGCTTACAAAAAACTGCCGAAATTGTGCATACAGCTCTCAGACGCTTTACCCAGATTCACCAGTTGTTACCGATTCCCCTATTTAGCATTTGCTTTATCATTCAATCTGTTATGCATTTTTTTTGCTGAACTATTTGAGATTAAGTTGCATACATCATTCCCCTTGACGCCTGAAAACGTCAAGTGTGTGTTTTTTAAGAACCAATGACATTGTCATACATAATGGTTATCAGTTTAAGGAAATTTAACATCGATATGATACTTAAATCCTTTCTCTATTCCAGTTTGTCAGTTGACCCAATAATCCTCTTTTTTTTTTTTTAAGATTTTTAAATTTATTTTCAGAGAGAGGGGAACATCGATAAATGAGAGATAGATTGGTTGCCTCACACATGCCCCCAACTGGGGACCTGGCCTGCAACCCAGGCGTGTGCCCTGGCCAGGAATCAAACCAGAGATCCTTTGGATCACAGGCCGGCGGTGCTCAGTCCACTGAGCACCACCAGCCAAGGTCCAGTAATCTATCTCTCTTACAGCATCTGAAAACATGTTTGTTTTTTTTAAAAGCTAAAGAGCTTTAGAATTTTTGGCAGTAATATGGGAGGAGTTATTCATCTTTTCCAAATATAAATATCAAATTTTTTAACTTACCTGGTATTGTTGATTTTGGAAAATCAAAGCTTAAAAACTTTTCAAGATTCTTTAATTGTATTATTTACCCTTACTAGATTCACAGACTTTTGCATTTTCTTTTAAAAATAACAGAATAAGTATTATATAGATAGGGCTGTTCATTTTAAAAATAAAAAAAATACATGTAGCCCTGACTGGTGTGGATCAGTGAGTTGGGCATTGTCCTGCAAGCCGAAAGGTTGCCAATTCAATTCCCAGTTAGGGCACATGCCTGGTTTGCAGGCCAGGGCCCCAGTTAAGGGGCATGCGAGAGGCAACCTGTCGCTGTTTCTCTGGCACATCGCACATCGATGTTTCTCCTGCTTTCTTTCCCTCCCTCCCTTCCATTCTCTCTCAAAATAAATAAAATCTTTCAAAAAATATATGTAAGCATAAGAAATGAAAAATAATCTGAAATCCTATTATCCAGGGAAATCTTAGGGTAAACATTTTGGTGGTAGAGATCCTTCTGGATCTATCAGGTATGTACATTTTATAAAAAGACTTACATTGCATAGTGAAGCTGGTACCTAACAATTATTATTTTGAATTGTCCTAAAATGAACGATTAAAAGAAAACAAAGTTATCTGTGTGATAGAAAGTAGGGATAAATATTTGTACAATGACTAGTCTCTTTGGAGGGGCATTTTGAGAAAGAATTTGCAGTCTCCCACACTCTAATTTTCATGAGTAGTTTTTTTCAAAAATTGAGATCAACTAGATTACTCTAATGCTAATTATATTTAATGTAGTATACCTTCATTTATGGCCTGAGATGGAAGGTGAATGAACCGTGGAGGCTTATTCAAATAGAAATGTGTTCCAGTCCTTTGTATCAAGTATAACTAATAATTACACTTGCTAAGAGACGTTTCTTACCTAAGCACCATGAAGTCT